GGGGACCTACATGAAAAACCTCCTAAGCTTATCTTTACCAGCTTAGGTCAAAACTTCCCCAAGGTACAAAATATTACACCCGTTATCCTTGGAATGGCCGCTACCACCACCAAACTAATACTGGTTACTGGGGAAGAGCTGTTTGGACGCGTCTTTCCCCCAAAATACTTCCCAAAACCTTGCACCCCACTTCCTGGACAAGGTTTGGTAAAAAGCCTCACCAATTTGCCTAGGTGACTACAGACCCAGACCCTTGGATCTTAAGAACAATGAACAATCCTCCCAACACTTGCACCCCCCTTTCCTGGGAAATGTTGGATAAAAAGCCTCACCAATTTGCATAGGTGACCACAGACCCAAACCCTTTGATCTGAGAACAATGAAAAAGCATTCAGTTTCTTACAAGAAGACTTTTAATAAAAAATAGAAGTAAATAGAAATAAAGAAATCCCCCCTGTAAAATCAGGATGGTAGATATCTTACAGGGTAATTAGATTCAAAAACATAGAGAACCCCTCTAGGCAAACCCTTAAGTTACAAAAAAGATACACAGACAGAAATAGTTATTCTATTCAGCACAATTCTTTTCTCAGCCATTTAAAGAAATCATAATCTAACACATGCCTAGCTAGATTACTTACTAAAAGTTCTAAGACTCCATTCCTGGTCTATCCCTGGCAGAAACCAGCATACAGACAGACACAGACCCTTTGTTTCTCTCCCTCCTCCCAGCTTTTGAAAGTATCTTGTCTCCTCATTGGTCATTTTGGTCAGGTGCCAGCGAGGTTACCTTTAGCTTCTTAACCCTTTAGAGGTGAGAGGAGCTTTCCCCTGGCCAGGAGGGATTTCAAAGGGGTTTACCTTTCCCTTTATATTTATGACAGTAGGTAATTCACAGAAAAGGATACAGTGCTCAAGCAAGGTAGCATGTGGCCACAGGATTATTCATAGCACGGTTAGCAGTATTACTTTTGTTAAAAGGAACAGCTATCCAACAGATGCTCTGAGGTCAGCAGCTCCTTCTGCCCCAAGATTATGGCAATACAATCCATTAATTAATGCAAGATGTTATTTATTAACAATGGGCCAGACTTGGCTTGAATCAGGGCAGCCATGCGTGGCACATAGCCCTTGTTCCCCTACATGGCTTCTGCACATCTCTGCTGCAGGCACAAGGGCTATGTGCCTAGTAGCCTCTCTCCTGACATAGGGGTGGGCCACAATTTACATTCTGTTCTACAAATGTGTTTCTAGTCTGAAAAATAACTCCACAGCCTTCTTCCTGCTTTGTCTCCATATCAATTTTGCCTGGCCTCTGAGAGTCAAGTGGGTCCCTTACCTCATGCATCACCACTACCAAGAGATTCTGCAGGTCAAAACTGTGTCCTCCAGGAGCAAAGATTAGGCTGTCCCAGGCACTACTCTGGTGGGGGAAGTCCCTGTGGCTCGCAATGCATCCACTGGCTTCAGGAAATTGCATCATGGAGGTACATAATTGATATGTTCTGAGATGGGAGGGTACAGGACAGTTGTGTATCAGTGTATGGCCAACGCCACTATAAATGAACCCTATTACATATTAAGCTGTGGGTTACTAACACTTACTATTAGTTGCACCAACCTAATCACCTGTGCATACAGAAGAAGAGAATGCTGATGTAGGTGTATTCAGCTAACAGCATTTGACTTACCACTTACCTAGAGTTGTCACCAATCTACAGAACTGTAAGACAGTAGCTCTGGTATTTTTTTGGGCAGTGACAAGCAAAAGGAGAGAGACACACATAGACATGAGACTACACAAAGTGCTTACTTCTCCAATGAAAAGCAAACCGGCACTCTCCCCTTAATCCAACAGATAGGGTAAATAATCAATAGCACACAATAGGGGTAAATTGGTTGACTGGGGCTAATTTTTGGTGCAGTGCACAGGGATTTAGCCACACAATGCCCATTAACCTTAGTGGGCAATGTGCTGTTAAATCCACCTCTGAAGGCAGCCCTGTGATGTCAGGCAGATTCATACAGCTCTTTTTTTCTCCCATCCAGGGAAAAGCGGTAATCTCTCAGAGATGTCTGTTCTTTTTTGCCACTACAAGTTGCACATTAGTGAATCTGTTACATGTAAAATGTTGAGCAGGAATGCATGGTTAAGCAATCTATTATGATAAAATGAGAGCATGTTAAAGCACACCTGGACTAACAAAATATTGCTTCTGATCTTTCAGGCACTTTATAAATGCTGACTGGGTTATTAAAAATTATTGATCTGAAACAGAGCATGAAGATTACATTAACTAGGGTGGTGTCTGAGTCCTGGTAAAACAGATTATCATGCTGTGCTGCTGTGTCAAATGGTTTGCGAAAGCAGAATTGATTGAAGAAAAGGAATCTTGGCATTTTGTGTCTTTCTAACAGCACATCATTTGCCTTTCAGGCAAACACCTTGCTCTCTCATTTGACCTGGGCACCCTTGTTCCAGATTAGGGGAGATTTGAACTTTAGGATGGTATATTGGTCTTTTAATTTCAAAGATTAATTTTTAGAGCCTGAGAAAATCAATTTCCTGAATATCCCTTCATTTTTCACCTCCAGGATAACAAAGTTGTTTGCCTAGATATCTTTCCCCACCCAGCCTGTGCCCCTCCCTTTTACCTCTCTATTATAGCTCTTCTCCTTTTCATTGTTCCCACTACTGTGAACTATACAGATGGAAAGTAGTTTGTCAACAAGTCATTCACCCCATCATCCCTGAAAGATTTAAAAATGTTATTAAAGCTAATGTTTAAAATCAAATTTACACAAGTTAAGAAGGAAGGTACTGTACATCTGGGGTCAGGCTTGAGTTATGAGAGGTCACAAGGATCAGTTATAAGGTTCACAAGATATATACATAGCACATAACCAGCACAGACCCAGATTGGGGTGCGGGAGTTTTTAAAGCATCAGTGAATAAGTGATCTCGGGTACGCCACCCATAGGATGTATTTAGTCTAAGTCAGTGTTGTTGTAGCAAATAGGTACGTGGGTGGGGTGCGTCCCTTGGTTCGTCAGGGGAGGAAGTGGGTTATTTCCCTGACCAGCGGTCTTGTTTACTTGTCCTAGTACTGACAGTGTCCCGTGATGTGCTCTGTGTAGATGTCTCTGGACCACTTGATGGTGTCAGACACCATGAGCTGTCTCATGAGCCAGGCGTACTAAATAAAGCACCTATCCAACTGATCAGCCACATGTTTCCATTCTATCTGGTGGCTTCTCCTCCACATAACAGTGGTTCTAGATAAATTTAGAGGGAGGGAGGGAGGGTAGGCAGAGAACATGAAACCCAAGTTTAATCTAATTCTGAAAAGAGGGGTGAAGATCCCCTGCTCCTGCAGATGTTCTGTAATTTACCAAAAGAATCCCAAATGTACTGATAGTTCTCACCTTCAGAACTCTCCTGTAACTAGGGTGCCAGGTATATGATCCTGACTAAAATCACAAGCTGCTTACATGCTAAATATAGTGGAGTGCACGGAAGTCACAGCTGAGGAAAGTGTTAACACGGCAATTACAGGGTTGGTAATCAAATACGACTCTCTCCTACACAGCATCACAGTGGCCTTTTATCATTGGCTCTCATTAATATAGTGCCTCTTGTGCAGCTAAGTTTGTTTTCATAGAATCAGAGGAGTAAGAGAGGGAAGAGAGATCCAAGTGTAGCCTCTGCGCACAGTGGAGATTTCCTGATGGAGGATGTCCTAGACTTTTGAGGCCCAATTCCACACTGCCTTGCACGTTATGCAGTCGTTTTACTGTTGCTTTATACAGATGTCAATGCTACCAAATCAAAATTCTCCCCTCACGCCTCTGGGAACATTTTAGACCCACTTTGCCCAGGTGCAAGTGATCACCCAACTTGCAAGGTAGTGGAGAATCAGGCCCTCAGTGTGTGCTGGAGCTAGAAACCCCTTGCAGCTTATGGTAACTAAGAACTAGCTTCACTCAGTCCAATCCCCCGCAACTGGAAGAATGACGGCGGCCAGAGGGGGAACCTCTAAAGGTCATGGACTGTACTTCCTTTGTCCTGTATTGACTATGACACTGTACATTAGGTGGCACTGTGCAAATGCAGAGTGTTTGATTTTTGCATTTGTGTTCTTGTTGAGAGTCTCAGCAAGGAGGTTTGAGAGTGACTAACTAGCGGCTCTGACCGGCTGTTCCCCCTTCTCAGGTAGGATTAAAGCAGACTGGTGGGGCAGAGTATAACTGTGCACTCATCGTGCTATACCTATCCTAAACAGGCAACTTCAGCTGGAAGGACCATTAATCAGAACTTTTCACTTGTACTAACTCAATATGAATGCATCTATTCAAGAGCACCTCTGCTAGGCAAACTGTATCTCAGTTCCCTGAGTGTTCATAATCTTTCTACATTACAGCGCTGTTCCCTGCTCCTCACCACGATCCTGATCCCTTTCTGTCAGTCCCACAGCTGCTATAAAGAAAAAGCTGAAGCATGGGAATATGATACAGGTGCTTGTGCTGACACCATAGGGAAGACACGAGAGAGGCTCAGGAATATTTTTTCTATAGAGAACAAATAGCCAGCTAGAGAGAGAAATGTGAGTTAGAGAGTGGATGTGATCACTTCTAGGCCTCCTCTGAAGGGTATTGTAACCAGAACTAGTCCAGACCCGCTTACCTTAGGGGTAGCTGAGAGGGAAGGAAGATGGCCCCTGTGGTGGAAGGGCCTGTGACAGAAGAAAGGATAGACCATCAGACTGACTGCCCTGTTAGGTACCCACTTAACAATTGTTTTAGAGAGAGCAGCAACTAGTTCTCTATGCCACTCAGATACTGAGTAGCATTAGATGATTAATTCCCAGCGTGATGCTTCCCCACCCACTTTCTATATCACTGTCACCCTGGCTTCCCAGGGGAGCTCATCTGAGCGGTGGCATACTGAACATTTTAATTTTCAGTGCACTTATATGCAGTGTTATTTGTTCTGTTTTCAGATTGATAAGTATGCTCAGCAGGATCTGAAAAAAGGTCTTCGTTTGTATGGGACAGATGGAAATATTGGCCTAACTAATGCATGGAGCATCATTCAAACAGATGTAAGTCTAATGGTTTTTTGTTTTGTTTTTCCTCTTAATTTATTTCTGGTCTCTTCAGAGGTCTCTTCTGGGATTACACATTAATGTGCTACCAACACCACCATGTCTCTCTTTATTTCTTGTCTGACCCTCCCCCCAAGCTAGAATTTTCCACACCTACAGACAGACCCACCCACCTGGTCACAATACCCAGTGGAACCCCTCACCCACACAGTGCAGACTCCATTATGCCTTGTTTTGTGTGTGGCCTCTTAACGGACTCTTACAATTATCTTACATGAACAGCACGTTTGCATCAGTTCCCTTGAGGTTTGAACTCAACCCATAACAAGGTTTAACCCAACGTATAATAGTACAGAGGAGCGGCACATGAAAGGTAATTCGCTTCTGCTTCTCCAAGATGAACTATGAAGGCTTTGCAGTCATTTTCCAGAGGGTGGGACCACCTCTTTATTCTTAACTCCATTTCCCCTTTAGCAGCAACACCCTGGCCATTACTTCATCGTGGAAGGGCCCTGAGGCCATTTTTTCCAAAGTCACTTACGCCACAACTGGATCGTTGTGCAAAAAAGGTCGATCAGTAGATGAGCACAGCCATTGTGCTGCCCTGCTTTTCTTCCCCCACACTCTCATGTAGCTCTCCCCCAAATTGCCCTCCAGAGAAGCTGGCCAGGATATAGGTGTGAGTAGTCTCCCCTCCCCCATGTGGCTGCTGTACCTTATTACAGCACTCTATGAGTGGCCAAAGGGGGGCACCAACTCCAAGGCTATCACATTTTTTCCCCTTTTTGCTATGCAACCAGACTATCCTGTGATAAATCATCCTCTTCACCCTTGACGTCCCTTGGTGGAATCTGGGTTGAAATCTTGAATTATGCTTTTTGTTTTGGTCCCAGTCTAGACTCTCAGATGTTTCACCCTATACAACACAAGTCATAACATATGGTACACTGTTTAGGAAGGACCTAGGCCTAGAACAGTTAAGGATCATTGGCAGGACCCAGAACTGGGATACCAGAGGATGCTACAGGTTAGAGTTAAAGTGTGTTGTCAATGTTGCATTGGGACCAAGTTCTAGACACCAGAGGATGATACAAATTAGGATCAAGGTGCATTGACAGAGCATCTCAGGAGTGGGATAGCCGTGAGTGCTATGGATGGGCCTTGGCTGAACTGTGTGTGAAAAAGGGTAGAACAACTCCAGCAAACATTCTCTCAGTTAGCCAGCGTTTTATATCTCTGGCTTTCATGAGCATGAAAATTCTCATCCATATTCTGAGGAGGAAAGGTAGAAGAGATAAAAATCAAAGTTGAATATGTGCAATTTCTAAAAGTTTGCTACCTGCAGTCACAGTACCTAGATCATGAATATCTATATTACTAAATGTCATATACAATTTCAAGTTGGAATGTTGTGGAACTTTGAAGCCTCATCTTTTAAAAAAAATACAATAGAGCAGGTTTCATTGCCGTAACCATTTCATTTGCTGTTCGTTTTTCCTGGTGGTAACAGCACATATGGAAAATAAATATCATTTCACTCTATTGCTGAGAATCAAATGTTTGGTTACAAACAGTTCACTGACTTGTGATTGGGGGGAAAAAACTACCAAGAAACAACAGATATGGGAAAAACAGAAATTGATTTTCTTGCCAGTGTGATTTTTCCCTGAATATGTCTTTAGTTTTCTCCTCCCTGATGCCAAGAACTGACTGTGGGAAGGTCATCCTGTTACAGCGACAAAGGTTTCAGTGCTACATGTCTGCTATCATTTCACTTTGAAACTCTATAATGACCAAATAAAGACTGGGTATTAAATGCTTAAATTGATCTTCAGTCGCCAGCAACATTCAGTGGGCAGACTAGACTGTATGAAATACAGGCGAACTTCAGAGTTATGAACACCAAAGTTGTGAACTGACCAGTCGACCACACACCTCATTTGGAACCGGCACTACACAATCAGGCAGCAGGAGCGATTAAAAAAAGAAAGCAAGAAAGAAAAAAAGCGAATACAGTACAGCACTGTGTTAAACATAAACTAGTAAAAAAATAAAAGGAAAAGCAGCATTTTTCTTCTGCCTAGTAAAGTTTCAAAGCTGTATTAAGTCAATGTTCAGTTGTAAACTTTTGCAAGGACCACCATAGTGTCTTGTTCAGAGTTATGAACAACCTCCGTTCCTGAGGGGTTGGTAACTCTGAGGTCCTACAGTATAAATTAAAGGTTTTAATATTTTTTATTTTGAGAGGTATTAGAATATTGACTCGGCTTAATTCATCTAAAATTAATGAGTAAAATGTATGGAAACCTTGCGGGGTGTTTCCCTGGCTAACAATAAACTTTTCTGGTAAAGGTTAAACTGGCTGCAGTGATGTTTCAGGAAGTGTTGGGTGTCAAGGCTAGGAGAATGAGTCCTGTTTCTTGGTGTTATGCAGGGCACCAAGCAGTCAAGATTTCTGGGTTGTTATGTGATCTTTGGGAGCCCATAATCTGTGCCTCTACTTCCCCATCTAAAATAGGTGTTTTGAGGCTTAACACTATGTCCAGTTCTGGGGTTCACTTTTTAAAAGAATATGTTGACAAATTGGAGAGAGTTCAGAAAAGAGCTACAAGGATATTAGAAGCCTGGAAAACCTGTTTTACAGTGAGAGACTGAAGAGGCTCAATCGATTTAGCTTAACAAAGAGATGGTTAAGAAGTAACTTGTCTTTAAGAGTCTACATGGGGAGAAGGTTTCTGAAAGTAGAGGACTCTTAAATCTGCCAGACAAAGGTAAATACTGAGATGCAATGACTGGAAACTGTAGCTAGACAAATCAGACTAATAATAATTTTTAACGGTGAAGGTAATTAACAATGGGAACAACTTACCTAGGGAAATGGTTTATTCTCCATCACTTGAAGTCTTTAAAACAAGACCGGATGTTTTTCTAAAAGGGCTGTTCTATCTTAACTAGTAGGGATGGGCTTGATGCAGGAGTCACTGGGTGAAATTCTATGGCCTGTGTTATGTAGGAGGTCAGATGAGGTGATCATAATCGTTCCTTCTGACCTTAAGATCTACTAATGTTTGGAGAGTCTGGAGATCATCACGTGAAAGGTTTATTAGTTATTATATTTAGGGAAAGAGCACACAAGATAATAGGAAAATTCAGACTTGCACAGCAAGACACAACAGTGTTAAATCTCTCACTTGCTAGCATGGTAATGGTGAGATTGTGTCTGTGCTCTAGTTTTTAAATGTGCACAAGTCTCAGTGCTGGGCAGTAGGGCGGACAATAAAGAGCTCTCCCAGAGCAGTTTTTAGCACTCTGTCTAATTGCTTCTCATGCTTATCCTTCACAAATACTTAGTAACAGGCTGTTGCAGTGATGCAGCAACAGCGAATCCCAGTATAGTTAATTATGTAAAGCACTTGGAAGATTAATAGCATTGTATAAGTGCCAGTCTTTTGTTTGTTTGGTTTGTTTTTTTGTTCAAGAATAATTATTGCCTTACTTTCCTAATCAGTAGAGTGTAATCACCTATGGGGGAATTAGGAGTATATAGGGGACTATTGTATGAGAGATCCTGGCTCTGGCATTATGTTTGTATTCCTGTTCCTTAGTGGTTATTGACAGAAAAGCCAGCAGAGCTAATCACAGTGCCATATGGGAGACTGGTTCTCAGTATTCCTTTCTCTAGTGGACCCAGTAAAGATCAGTCATTGGTTGGGCAATGGGCCATGCACATACATAGACGGAGAACAGCATCCTCAGGGAAAAAAAAACATATGAGCAATAGCAGGAGCCTTAATGGAGTTTATCTTCTATCCCTACTCTCTCCACCCCCACAGTCCCCATCTTTGTGAAAATACCATTCTAAGGCCTGGCCTACACTGGGGGTTGGGGGGGGGGAGAGAGAAGGAGGGGGAAGATAGATCTAAATTACGCAACTTCAGCTACATGAATAACGTAGCTGAAGTCGACGTACTTAGATCGACTTACCATGGCGTCTTCACCGCGGTGAGTCGACTGCTGCCACTCGCCCGTGGACTCTGCCTGTGCCTCTTGCTGAGCTGGAGTACAGGAGTTGACAGGAGAGCACTCGGGGGTCGATTTATCGCATCTAGATTAGACGCAATAAATTGATCCCCGCTGGATCGATCGCTGCCCGCCGATTTGACGGGTAGTGAAGACATACCCTTAGCTTGAATAGAAGGATGGCCTTGTGGTTAAGGCTCTGGACTGGGGACCCTAGCAATTGTGGCTCTGCTACAGTTCATTTCTCCCTCCCTTTGTCTATTTAGGGATGGGATGGTCTCTTAGCAGGAGTTTGTACAGCACCTAGCACAATGAGACCCCCCTAAACTCAGTTTAGGCCTCTATATTATACTGTATATCTCTCTACTCTCTCTCATACTTCACAGGAGGAAAAACAATTTAGCCAGAAACAGAATCACATCCAGCAGCTGGTGATCTGGAGTCCCTGACTGATCCCATATTGGAGAGGAATTTCATCAGGCAATGAAGATAGTATAGATGAAGTCACCCCTGAAGGGTGGTTATTGTTTCTCTTTCTCAAGTGTGAAAATCATTAGCACTCTTCACAAAAATAATTGAGTTCTTTCTTCAGTATAGGGAGGAAAAACCCTAGCAAATACGATGAAATTTCGAAGCCGGATAGACCGTGATACGATTTGTGCCATGGTCATTTTAAGTACTTAACCTGTAAAAAAGACACACTGTGCTGCAGGTGGGAAACGTAGGCAATCCAGATGGATATGTTAAATATGCACATAAATGGCCTGAGTTTAGATATTAACCAACACAGGATAGAGACCCCCCCAAAATGTGGAATTATTTTTAACTTGAAAAAAAGAGCTAGCGCTAGTGAAGGTGATCTGGACCGCTTTGGAGCCTGCAGTACTTTGTTAATCCATCGGAAATGAGAAGCACTGGCAGCAGGAGTACAAATGGCCACCTTAGGCTCTTTTCTCCACTGCCTTGCATCTTGTGTTAGTCTCTTAAACACATGAACAAGGGTGTACAATTACACCATATCAGAATAGTGGCATTTTATATCCTCAGTGAATGACCACACTGGGTGCCAAGCAATGGCCATTCCCCTCCCATCCTACCTCTAGGGTGAGATGTTAGGTCACTTACTCTGTTATTCAATCATTGACTGGTCTGTTCGGATTGCCAATAAAGAGATCAGCTTTGACAATGCCTCTTGTGATGTAGAGACACATCCACTGGCAACAGGACAGAGAACATACACCTTGAATCTACCTGGATTGCAGTGAGGCAGTTGATGCAGTTCGACATGGGAAATTATTAGTTAAATTGGAGCTGATGGGGATTAATATGAGAACTAAAAAGGTGAGTAAAGAACTGGTTAGAGAGGAAACTATAATGGGTCATACTGAAGGGTGAACTGTCAGGCTGGAGGAAGGTTACTAGTGGAGTTCCACAGGAATCAGTCTTGGGACCTATCTTATTTAACATTTTTATTAATGACCTTGGCACAAAAAGTAAAATTTGTGGCTGGAACAAAGTTGGAGGTATTGCCAATATGGAGGAGGACTGGAATACCATACAAGAAGATCTGGACAATATCGAAAACCAGAGTAATAGAAATAGGATGAAATTTAACAGGGCAGAGTGCAAGGTCATACACTTAGGGACTAACAACATTTTTGCTATAAGCTGGGGACTTATCAGTTGGAAGTGACAGAGGAGGAGAAAGACCTAGGTGTATTGGTTGACCACAGGATGACTATGAACTGCCAGTGTGATGTGGCTGTGAAAAAGGCTAATACAATTCTAGGATGCAAAGTATTACTGTAGAGACAGAAAAGTGTTAGTACCATTCTATAAGACACTCGTGAGACCTCACCTAAAATACTGTGTGCAGTTCTGGTGTCCCATGTTTAAGAAAGGTGAATTCAAGCTGAAACAGGTACAGAGAAGGGATCCTAGGATGATCTGAGGAATGGAAAATGTGCCTTATGAGAAGAGACTCAAAAAGCTTGGCTTGTTTAGCCTAACCAAAAGAAGACTGAGGGGAGATAGGATTGCTCTCTATAAATACATCAGAGGGATGAATACCAGGGAAGGAGAGGAGTTAAGTTAAGCACCAATGTAGACATAAGAACAAATGGATATAAACTTACAATCAACGAAGTTAGGCTTGAAATTAGACAAAGGTTTCTAAGCATCAGAGGAGTGCAGCTCTGGAACAGCCTTCCTAGGGAAGCAGTGGGGGCAAAAAGGCTAATTGGCTTCAAGACTGAGCTTGATAAGTTTAGGGAGGGGATGGTATGATGAGACTGCCTATGATGGCATATAGCTGATCTCTGAGTGCTATTAGCAAATGTCTCCAATGGCCGGTGACGGGACACTAGATGGGGAGGGCTCTGAGTTACTAGAGAGACTTTTCTCAGGTGTCTGGCTGGTGGGTCTTGCCCACGTGTTCAGGGTCTAACTGATCATCATATTTGGGGGTCAAGGAGGAATTTTCCCTCGGGTAATACTGGCAGAGATCCTGCAGGGTTTTTCATCTTTCTGTGCAGTACGGGTCACTTGTAGGTTTAAACTAGCATAAATGGTGGATTATCTGTAACTTGAAGTCTTTAAACCATGATTTGAGGACTGCAGTAACTCAGCCAGAGGTTATGGGTCTGTTACAGGAGTGGATGGGTGAGGTTCTGTGGCCTGCAAAGTGCAGGAGGACTTACATATTAGGACTTGGTGTACTACACAGATGTATATAGTTACTTGAATAAACATGACTTAAATCCCACTAATTTAGGACTCAAGTATGAGCTGAGGTCAGTGGAGTTACAGGTGCAAAACCATCAGGCAATGAGAATTGGGCATTAATTTTTAAAATATAGTTTTATACCCAACATCTTTGCAATCAAGATCTAAGCACTTTGTTTGACCACCTTGTAAGTAATTAGGTAAAGTATTTGAGAAATATGTGGAAAAAAGCAGGAGGAACCAAGTTCTGCTCAGTTTTACTTGTGTAAATCCAAAGTAATACCATTCATTTCAATTTACACCAGTGTAACTCAGACAGAATTTGACGCTATGTATTTTTTCCCCTGAGCGATGTACATTTTCTGTATTTTCCTTCCCATTACTGACATGTAATGAAACTTTCTCTTCAGCCTCAGTTTATTCACTCTGAGTGATTGCTTCAGTGATGTCTCAAATTTGTGCTCATGATGTCATTTAGTGTCCTCTAACTACGATGTTACTGAATTGTTCCATAAGAGGGGGAGGAAGGGAAAAAAGCTTTAACTGAGGAACAAAGACTTGGAGAGTCAATCATTACTAATGAACAACAGAGGAGGACAGTGTGATGGTGACTCTAATCAGGAGACTGTCTGCTACAGTGTTCAATACAAAACACAATCTCTTCGCCACTTGGAGGGTGGCAGACAAGCATCTCAAGGTCATGACTCCTGGCAGCAAGGAGTAAAACACCACTATAGTCGCTCTCAGGCAGATTAAATTCTTTTAGGCAAAGTGGGAATAATCCTAATCCATGGCTGTGATTCCGGAGTTTCAGATCCTTCACTGTTTTGCCACTACAAATGTTTGGTTTTGCTTAGTGATTCTCCCATTCAAGCTGCTCATGGGACAACACTCTTACACAGCATGGGAGACATGCAAGGGAAGGGGGGAAAGAAAACTATAGCTGCTTTACCTGAGCAAAGTGAGGAGACAGGAGTTTATTTCTTTACTGTCTAATGGATCCTCCCCTCCCTATTAGCCTAATCCTAATACACAGAGTGAGGCAGTAGGAATAAGAGAATGCTTGTGCCCAGCAAGAGGTGTGGAAGAGTCTTCCATTTCCTCAAAACAAGTAAAAATGCGGCATTATGTAATGAATGATGTCTTTTGCCCATAAATCCCAGAGCACACTCACACTGTCATCCTTGCTTTTTCCTCCTCCAGTTCAGATGCTGTGGGGTCTCGAACTACACTGACTGGTTTGAAGTGTACAATACTACACGGGTGCCAGACTCGTGCTGCTTGGAATTCAGCGAGAATTGTGGACTCCACTCCCCGGGGACCTGGTGGAAAGCTGTGAGTATTCCTCTCAGTCAGCTGCAAGGGCAGTTACCTAAGCCCTGTTTTAATTCAGTCGACATAAGGTAGGTATGGGGGATGGCCACCAACAGGTCTACAGGAGGCAAAGGTGCACTGGAGACATTAAAACTTGATCATCATAAAATGGCCTCACAGAGCTGCCAAGGGCCATTATTTCACATTGTACTATGCAGTGAAGCCAGCACCTTGAGGAATTTTCCAGAGGGCTGAGGCTTCCTCCCTCCCAAGAGACAGCACAGGGCTCTGGAAGTCACATGCATCTCTCCGGACACATGGCTACTGCTGACAATGATCTCATTGTTATGCTTATAAGAAGCACATGGAATCTTTTTTAAAAGGGGATAAGGCAATATGCCATGTTTATTGAGAGTACAATTTAAGCATTAAAATCAGCATATGCAGCTCCGATATTGATGCAGAACGAACCCAAAGTCCCATGGCAATACACCCTTCTTTTATAGTAATAAGTTCCCATACAAGTCTCTGGACTTTGCTGTGTCACACCGGAGCTGTCAATCACGGGGTATTCAGGGTTGCTCTTAATTAGCAGTATTTTGAGTTGTTACTGGGAGAATCCGCAGCTGTTTCTTATCTGCCCCTTTGGCTCAACTCCTTATCTCGTTCTTGGGGTATATGCCTCTGCTTTAGGGTTGTCAATCTGCCATCCTGGTGATTGATAATAAATTGCCATCCGACCCAGGTGTCCTTTCTCAGTTAATTGCCATACATTCTTCACTCACACCAAACAGTAAATAAGGCAATTACAGCCATAAAACTTCTATCCTTCTAAGAACAAATGTTAACACAATCTGCAAAAAATAAACTCAGAACAATTTCTTCTTACTAATTCAAAGCTAGCAAAATAAGCAAAATGGAGTACAATTTTACTTGAGACAATTTCTTCCATTAGGCTTTTGACCTACATCATGAGCAGAGCACCGACTGACTAGGAAAGAGACAGTGCCTTTCAGTTTATTGTTGCATCTGTAGGGGTGGAACAGGATGCAGCCAAACACATACCCTCATGAGTATCAGAGGCCCTGATGTGGAACACAGTAGCAACAGGTTGGAGTGGCACAGACATTCACCAGGCACTAGAGCTGTGTAACCCTGCAGAGTTCAGTTCCTGACAGGGAGCTTGATCCAAGTCCCACTGAAGCCTTTCTGCTGACTTGCGTGGTCTTTGAATCAGGTCCAGCATTTGTGAGCTCAACGAATAAACCCCTGTAGTTTGCTTTTATCAGACTGAAGCCTCCAGAGGTAAGCCCCGCTCCCAAATCCCCACCCAGCTCCTCCCTGAGCCAGTAGCCAGACACCCTACCCATCTCCTAAATGAGTCCTAAGACCCTCCCTTTATACCATAGATAGCTGTAGGGAAGGTCTTGAGGCAAGGGCAGCTACTGAGGTGGAAAAAGGGAGTTTTGCTGCTTTCCAAGTGAAGCAAAAAAGAAATTCAATTCTCAGCCTGAATTCAATAAAACTTCACAAGCATGGGCTGAAATTTCTAAACAGAGGGTGGACTCCAACCAAAGCTGGTTTGGTTCTAATCAACACGTCTCCCAGCTCTACTGTACAGCCTCCAGTTACCTTTACATAACACTTCGGACAAAGAAAAAACAGCTTTTCTTGTTCTTGAATATGGGGATGAGAGGCGGCGAGCAGGGCCAAACACCTAGTCACTGCTGTAGATTAATACCTTTTTCCTTATACATATTGTGAAAGCAACGCAGACTAGATGTTTAACTACGCAGTCCATCAGCTGGGGCTGGGACTGGCACAAAGGAAGCAAACCAGCCACTTCAGTGAATGTGCATAAGGACTTAGCACTCTCCTATTTCTATGTCAGCTGCACACTCTAAATCCCTTTCTGTGCCATGTGAATGGCCATCTGGGGACTTGGTGGAGATCAAGCCATGCAGTGGTTGAGGAGGCTAAAGGGAATGCAGGCATCAGGGGAATGCTTTCATAGGAAGCACTTGCTATGGAAAATTCAGGCAGAGTTCATGAGCTCCACTAGTCAAGCACCTCCTCTTGAAAAGCCAGCCCTGATAATATACAATTTCATCAGCTGCAGCCCTCTTCTTTGGGTGGAGTTTTCAAAAACACTTAATGCAATGGGTGTTGTGCTCCTCAGTAACTTTCAGTGAGACTTATGTTCACCAGTTACTTAGGCAATATTGAAAATCCCACCCAGGCCTGACTCTCAGGAGCCTGCAATCCTGCTCCTGGCTGTCTACAAATTCCTGGGGGGTTGCTTAGTGACAACTTATGGCAGCAGGCTGGGGGAGTGGGGGGGGGGGGGGGGAGTTCTATATCAGGCTAATGAGGAAAGGGAGATTCATGACCATTTATGTGAGCTTGGGGGGTGGTTGCCACTGTTGTGAAGCTCCCCACGTAATTTATGCCATGCTGCATAGCAAAAGGGGCTGTGACCATGCATGAGGAGCAGAAAGAATAGATAGGAAAGGTTCTTCCAAACCTTTCCCCAAACCAAAATTTTCAGCTTTGGGAAATATTCTAATGGCAGGGAAAAGGTCCATGAAGAATTAAATATTTGTGGCCTCAGACTTTAACAAACTAATTGTCCAATAATGATCCCGAAAAACAACTCATTTTTAATACAGGCTATTCCCACCACCTTCTCAATAGTCACATGGAACCGTACTGCATGTTTGACCTCTTACTACAGTGCTGCTAGAGCTCTTGAAGGGCTGGGCCAGTAACATCAGACTATGGTCTTCACTGTAGACTATGTGAGGGAGATTCCCAAGCTGAGTTATTAATTTTAGGTGACAGATCTGAGGAACTGTCCCAGATTGAGGTGTCAGTAAAGGAAGTATGGGAAAACATTGATAAATTAAACAGCAATAAGTCACTAGCACCAGATGGTATTCACCCAAGAATTCTGAAGGAACTCAAATATGAAATTGCACAAATAAATGTGGTATGTAGCCTGTCGCTTAAATCAGCATCTATATCAGATGACTGGAGGAAAGCTAATGTAAAGCTGATTTTTAAAAAGGGCTCCAGAAGCGCTCATGGCAATTACAGGCTGGTAAGCCTAACTTCAGTACCAGGCAAACTGTTTGAAACTATAGGAAAGAACAGAATTATCAGACACATAGATGAACACAACATGTTGGGGAAGAGTCAATGCAGCTTTCATAAAGAGAAATTGTTTCTCATCAATCTATTAGAATTCTTTGAGGGGGTCAACAAGCTTGTGGACAAGAGTGAGCTGGTTGATATAGCACACTTGGACTTTCAGAAAACCTTTGACAAAGTCCCACACCAAAGGCTCGTAAGCAAAATAAGCAGTCATGGGATAAGAGGGAAGGTCCTCTCATGGATCAGTAACTGGTTAAAAGATGGGAAACAAAGGCTAGGAATAAGATTATAAGATGGAAAATATAATGCCCCTATATAAAGCCATGGTATGCCCACACCTTGAATATTGCATGCAGTTCTGGTCACTCATCTCAAAAAAAGGTATATTAGAATTGGAAAAGAATGGTCATGAAAATGATTAATAGTATGGAACAACTTCCATATGAGGAGAGATTAATAAACTGGGACTGTTCATCTTAGAAAAGAGATGACTAAGGAGGGATATGATAGAGGTCTATAAAATCATGAATCGTGTGGAGAAACTGAACAGGGAAGTGTTATTTATGCCTTCACACAACACAAGAACCAATGAAATTAATAGGCAGCAGGTTTTAAATTAACATAAGGAAGTACTTCCCACAATCTACAGTCAACGTGTGGAACTCCTTACCTGGGGTGTTGTGCAAGCCAAAAGCATAACTTGGTTAAAAAAAAAAAGAGTTAGATAGGTTCATGGAGGATAAGTCTGTGACTGGTTGGATCACAGAAACCCCCTTGGGATTGCCAACTGATGTGCAGAGACTACCTCTGAGCCCATTTTCCCTGGCAGCTTGGGACTCCAGTGCCCTGCCTGGTTGTGCCAGACACGCTAGCCTGCTACAAACACAGACCCAGGTCTGAACAAAATCCCCCAAAAGCTGCAGGCTTAACAGATCGAGGGACATGATCATTCCCCTCTATTTGACATTGGTGAGGTCTCATCTGGGCCCCTCACTACAAGAAGGACGTGGAAAAATTGGAAAGCAACAAAAATGATTAGGGGACTGGAACACATGACTTATGAGGAAAGGCTGAGGGAACTGGGATTGTTTAGTCTGCAGAAGAGAAGAATGAGGGGGGATTTGATAGCTGCTTTCAACTACCTGAAAGGGGGTTCCAAAGAGGATGGCTCTAGACTGTTCTCAGTGGTAGCAGATGACAGAACGAGGAATAATGGTCTCAAGTTGCAGTGGGGGAGGTTTAGGTTGGATATTAGGAAAAATTTTACTAGGAGGGTGGTGAAGCACTGGAATGCGTTACTTAGGGAGATGGTTGAATCTCCTTCCGTTGAGGTTTTTAAGGTCAGGCTTGACAAAAGGATGATTTAGTTGGGGATTGGTCCTGGTTTGAGAAGGGGGTTGGACTAGATTCCCTCCTGAGGTCCCTTCCAACCCTGATATTCTGTGATTCTATGAAAACAGCTTAAGAAGTGCTCCTGTCTCCAGCACTCAGATGCCCAGCTCCCAGTGGGGTCCAAACTCCAAATAAATCTGTTTTACCCTGTGTAAATCTTATACAGGACAAGCTCATAAATTGTTTGCCCTCTATAACACTGATAGAGAGATATGCACAGCTGTTTGCCCCCTAGATATTAATACATACTCTGGGTTAATTAAGAAGTAAAAGGTGATTTTATTAACTGCAAAAAGTAGGATTTAAGTGGTTCCAAGTAATAACAGACGGAACAAAGTGAAATATCAAGCAAAATAAAACACGCAAGTCTAAGCCTAATGCAGTAAGAAAGTGATTACAGATGAAATCTCACCCTCAGAGATGTTCCAGTAAGCTTCTTTTACAAACTAGCCTCCTTCTAGTCTGGGTCCAGCAATCACTCACACCCCTGTGGTTACTGTCCTTTGTTTCAGTTTCTTTCACGTATCCTTTGTGGGTGGAGAGGCTATCTCTTGAGCCAGCTGAAGAAAAAATGGAGGGGTCTCCCAGGACTTTATATAGTTCCTCTCTTGTGGGTAGACACCCCTCCCTCCCCCTGTGTAGAATCCCAGCTACAAGATGGAGTTTTGGAGTTACATGGGCAAGTCACATGTCCATGCATGACTCAACTTTACAGGTGGCAGCCATTTTTCACATACTACCTTGAACATCCTCAGGTAGACTTATGTGGATTGGAGTCTTCCAAGGTCCATTGTCTGTGAAGTGTTTCTTGATTAGGCACTTAACTTGCAAATTCCTTTCTTAAGAAGCTGACCAAATGTCTTACTAAGGCTAAGTAAAATCAAACAAGTACACAGCCAATAGTCATAACTTCAAATACAAAAATGATACATGCATACTAATAGGATGAATATATTCAGTAGATCATAACCTTTGCAGAGATATGTTACATGGCATATGTAGCATAAAACAGCGCTTCTCAAACTATCTGATGTGGCAGACCAGCAATTTTTTTTCCCAATGTGCTAGGGACCGGTACCATATTTGTGCCATATTATTAGCGTATTCGCATAGGCACGTAGCACATCAGATCGGAAAAACTAACATTCTTCACTGTATTAATTGGAATGGGAGTGTGGCGTACTCGCGGAGATGTTCCCATTTAAATACATTGAAGACTGACTGAAGGGCTGTGCGTCTGTGCGGATAGTATAAAATGACTATTATTCATTTACGATCCAAGAAAATATTATTGGAACATTCATAGTAATATTAATTTATATCAGAAACAATGTAATAAAAGTTGGCAGACATTTTTAGGGGGCTTAGACACTGCAGCAGGTTGTTGGGTGGGAGCGGATTTTTCCTCCACCAGCTCCGCTGATCAGTGCAGATGCTGTCAAATTTCACGGAGCAACAACACCAACAATAATAATTAATCTTCCTCTCCCCAAACCTGTGCTAAACTGTCTTCCAGGATCAAGGGGCTACTTGTTTTGTTTTTTTGTTTTTTTTTTGGAGTGGGGTGGAGGGGTGAGGAAAGGAGAGGGGGTGGCAGCCAAGCCCAAGAAATTGCCAGAGATTAAGGAGTACTTGTGGCACTTTAGAGACTAACCAATTTATTTGAGCATAAGCTTTCCTGAGCTACAGCTCACTTCATCGGATGCATCCGATGAAGTGGGCTGTAGCTCACGAAAGCTTATGCTCAAATAAATTGGTTTGTCTCTAAGATGCCACAAGTCCTCCTTTTCTTTTTGTGAATACAGACTAACATGGCTGTTACTCTGAAACCTGCCAGAGATTAATGAGTCTTCTCCTTATTAGTGTGTCCATGGGCTTTATCTGCTCGGGGCTGGGCGGGGGGCAGCATGAATGGATGGCACAACGTGCAGGAAACACACACATACATTACACACGCTGCAGCTCGGGCAGCGCCTCTCCCTCTCCGCGGTGTAAGGGTGAGGGGAGGGGGAGCGACCCAGCCAATGGCAGCAGCCGTGGCAGAGTCACTGGCAGCTGTGGCGGCTGGGGTCGAGCCAGCATGAGCTGGGGCAGTGCGCGGGGAGTGGAGCCGGCGCGAGCAGAACGCGCTGCCTCAGGTCCCAGGTGCCGTGGACCATCAGCCGATGATGCCGGTCCACGGACCACCACTTTGAGTAGCACTGGCATAAAACATATTCCAGTTATGTCATATATACATTCATAAGCATATTTCCATAAAGAATTATGGGGTGCAACGTCACAAGGTCCATCAATGGCTATAAGCCAAGATGGTCAGCGATTCAACACCATGTTCCTAAACCTCTGTTTGCCAGAAGCTGGGACTGGACAATGAGATGGATCACTTGATAACTGCCCCGTTCTTTTTAATCCCTCTGAAGTGTCTGGCATTGGTCACTGTCAGAATGAGCTAGATGGACCAATGGTCTGACCCAGTCTGGCCATTTATGTTCTTAGATGTGCCCCATGCCTAGTAATTAAACTGGGAAGAAACTAATCAAGGAACTTCTGTAATGCAAACCTAAGTTATGCAGAATGGTATAGAGTGGATACATATTGTAAATCAGGAGGCACCACACAATGGCTCTTACTAGAGACTCTGATTAACTGTTTTCTTTATAGAACATTATTTCAACCTTCTCACATATTTCCATATTCCAGGAAAACAGTAAAATTGATTTTGAAATTACAAAATGCTGATACTTAGCTCTTACAGGGCAAAAAAAAAACATGCCAAAAATCAGCACCTGCTCACTTTTAGTACTGTATTTGTATCTTTTAGAGCAGCAGCACCTCATGCCCACTGCCCATCCCATATGGCCATTTGGATGCACAGCCTTCTGTGTCATTAAAAATCAGTCAACGTTATATTCAAAGTCTCAAGCCAGAAAGTCATTGTGTTCGTTACAATGCTGAAATGACAATTCTAGCTACCCAGCAGCTCAGTTTGACCTGTCTCAGTCTTATATGTGCCTTCACGTTCCAGTGGACTAGAGGCTTATGCTTGTGTCTAATATAAACCTCTCTCTTTTCTAGCCTTGTTATGAGACGGTGAAAATATGGCTCCAGGAAAACCTGCTCGCAGTGGGGATCTTTGCCCTGTGCACAGCTTTGGTTCAGGTGGGCTCTTATTTCAGTTTCTTACTGCCTGAGTAATTGCAGTTGGATTACGAAGTATGGAAACAAACTGCTTTCTGGCTTATTTCTTCCCAGGCTATTGTTAACAATTTCCAAAATATTCCATTAATCTTCCTTGGATTTTTAATGTAACCAAAATATCAGAGGGAAACTGCCATAATAAAAATTACATACAGTATATGTTACCATGAATAGCTACACAAACACAGTTTCCTCTTTTTAACGCCCTAAATGATTAGGATCTGATTTACTTTTTGTCACTGAACACGGCCCGCAAAACCAGACAGGTCGGTTTCATCTTCCGGTTCTCTTGCCTTAGTGTAAGACTGGGTTTAGCTTGCAAAACAAGCAGGGGAATGTGTATATTAAATTTTAACAAAGCACTTAAACAGAAGCCTCAATCTTGCATACACAATCATATACTTGATTTTCTGTATGTTAGTATTCCCATTAACTTCAATAGCATTTGCACATGAATAAAGTCAGGCATGTATTTTATTTCATTTCAAGGATGGCTCTGACCAGAAACATGGCTAAAAATTAACAGCATGCTGATGCCTTATGTCTAGGTATGCCTATGCTGCAATCAGCAGCATGACTGCAACACATGTAGACATACCCAGTCTGGCTTTAATCCAGCTAGCAGGAGTACCAATAGCAGCACGGGCTTCAGTGTGAGCTGTCCAAGCCTACCCAGGACCATGCATACTTACTTTGGCTGGCTAGCCCACCCTAAAATCAGTGCTGCTGTGGCTTCACTGCTTTTGGTAATCGCGCTAGCTAGATTAAAGCTAGACTGGGAATGTCACACTTTAGAGGGTGGCTGTTGGGCACACACACCGTATTTAGGGAGTCTTTAAAAGATGTATTACTTACACTATTCATCAGATCATATCATCCATCCCCAATAGACAGTGTTTATATGTAGAGCATTTAAAATCATATTGTATACATCTGACCAATTGTAATGACTTGTTTCCATTAGGGAAACAATTTTTTAAATGTTTACTGGAGGTTGTAGTGAAAATTATGAAATGCACAGAAAATACTTCAAACCTCAAAAGCTTTTGCCAGGGGTCTTCCCCCCACCCCCACCTGTTCGAACCTAATTATTGACTAAAGATCCAAAACTCATTGTGAGTTAATGAGATTCTCTCCATTGACTTCTGTGGGATTTGGATCAGGTCCTAATTGCTTGACAACTTTTTTTGGCTAGCGCTTTTGAAGTACAAGGAAGTGCACTTGTGAAAGGAAGCCATATACAAGTAACCCCTTTTAAAAAAACAAAAACAACCATGTACCTAGTGTTGTAGGAGAATCCTCTCAGTTGGTGCATGCTACGGGCCTCAATAAACAAATGTACAAAATTAACCCACCCTATTGGAGACTGCCACATGCAGACATCTTCTGACACGCTCATTTGCTTTGAGTCAGGAAAAGGTCAGTGTTCTCATGAATAAAACAGCTGCTTTAATAGCCAACAGAATTCCATTCCGTGGTATAAAAAGCCAGAGCAAAGTCTGGAAGTTAGAGATCAAGAGCCATTTATTTAACCTAAAAGTGTCTGTGCTCAGATAAAACTACCAATATCATTGCTCAAAGTCTGTTTAAAAAATAGTCCTTGTAGCGAATTGCCATTTAACCAATTGATTTTAAAATGGCCAAACTAATCATTTCAAAGAATATATATATAAAGAACTGCTACATGATAAACATTTAACCCTGAGGAAGTGATTACAACTGAGCTTTGGCAGAAATAGCAGCAGCTACACTTAGTTCTTTTATCTAAGTATTTTACAAATGAGGGTGAGTATCATGATTGCCATTTTCCATATCGGAAAACTAAGGAAAAGAGATGAGCCCCCACATCCTCAGAGGTATTTAGGCACCTAATTCCCCTTGAGGATACTCACCGTAGGTCAGTGGCAGAACTGGGAATAGAAACTATTTCTCCTATCTCTCAGTGTAGGACCACAGCCTATTGATTAAGGCTTGATTAATCTCAAGGCTTTGGTCAGGCCTATTGGGAGCAGGTGCACTGTTGATGGAGCCTGCTTATTTTTTGGCAGAGATGGACTCTAATGATTGTCAGCACTCTTCCCTCCATGGATGTGTTCATGAAATCACATCAGTTTGGAAAAAAGGGAAGAACGGCACTATCCTTAAGTTTGAGACAAAAACATTTTCTCCCATAGTGATGGATACTGTGACAAATACAGACCCACAGCCATCTGGGTGGGTCGGTACTGCAATGTAAAATATCTTTCAGCAACTGATGCCTCATTATTTCCCAGCAAATAAGGGCTGTTTTTATAGCTGGCACCAAAACTGAGAGCAGGGCCATTGTCTGCATTCATGGGTGCCAGCAGGAAGACATGGACAGAGCAAGAATGGTGTAGATGGGAGCAGAGGGGCAAAGCAGAGCAGGAGCCTGTGATCACGTAAAGACTATATCATAAGACATATGCATTTCGGGACAAAGTCATGTTGCATGAGTAACCTTAATTCTGCTATTTCCTAACTTTTGAGTGTTTGACTTTGCAACCACAATAAGGTGGATCTAACCTTTTTTTTGTAATACCAATGTCTGTCAATTTAATTTTTGTTTTGTTTCTTTAGATTCTTGGATTGACCTTTGCAATGACCATGTATTGCCAGGTAGTCAAAGCAGACACCTACTGTGCGTAGAAACCATCTCAAGCCTCTATGCTTCTCAAAAGGACATAGGAGAAAGCTCCTTCATGTTCATTCATCTGATCTTTTTTCTATGTAAGATAAACTGTGTATAATCCTATATCTCTGAAGATTTTGTAAATTACCCTAGTTTATTGAGGGAGGAAAAAAGGTATGGGGGAAAAAAAAAAGCCAAGGGAAGATCAGTACTTGGATTGGCATAGGCAGGAGGAGGAAGCGTTGTCTTTAAAAAAAAGAATGCTCCAACATAACAAAAGAAAACAGTTCCCTTTGCATGGACTGTGGCAAGACTGAAGATGCTGCTTAAGAGGAGCTAGTCTGCAAACCCGTGCTAGCATAGTCTGCAGACACTGAAAAGAGCTCCAGGAATCCAGAAAGGTTTCCTTCCAGAATATATCATGGGCTGGTGTGGGGGTGGGTGGGGGAAGAGTGGAAAGTTAAATATCCTTCAGTATTGAAAACAGAAGGCATGGAATAGCTAAATTGATGGAACTGTCATTTTACTACAATTTGTCTTTGTATGCAGCTAGTGTCACAGCAAGCCTCCAAACTGTCTCAAGAAGATTTTTGCAGCCAGGAGCGGGTCAACTTCAGAAGTGTTTTTAGTCTCATGTGCTCTGACGTCAGGAGCTAATCAGGATCTGAGTAATGAGATCTGTCTGGTAAGGGAAAAAAGTCTTAGTGGACATTGTGTCACTTATTAATTTTTCAATGGTACAGAACCAATAAGGGTGTGCGTGTATGATATATTCATAGACACTTACCATTCTGAAGGGAGGTGAAATAACCCTGCATCTCCCCTCAGAAGATGGAAGCTTTCTACCCCATTTCACATTCCAAGTGAACAAATACTCAAAGGGAAATAATGGAGTATTATTTCTTGTAGGAGACACTATCACTATTACCTCTGGGGAAACAAGTAATTACTTTCAGCTGTATCTTCATTTCTGTAAACAACTTGTGAGTAGGCTTTCTCTGTCACTCTCCTGTGGTTTTATTTTTTCCATTCCTGTTTCAAGTCAGTCTACCAGCAACTATCACTCATTTCTGCACTTAAAGAGCTGTCAGCTGTTTCTTCACTGAATGTCATTAATTTACCCTGGGACAATATCATCTGCAGATAGTATACGGTTTGCCTTGTCAAAGAAACATGTGTTACACAGTGCTTAGCTTAAGACTTGAGATGTTTTCCTGCTTAGAAATGCTAAACTACTTATTTACATCATCCATGGAAATTTGTTCCCAGTGGGAACTGGAGTCAACTTTCAAGCTTTTTTCTCCCCCCTTGTGCAGGCTTGCTCAGTAGCAACACCTGCCCCCGCTGGAATTTGCAAAACAAGCATCAGTCACAACTCCTCATTGCAGGAAAACAAATTTCCGTGTGTGTGTGTTCCCCCATTGTCATAATTGAAGAGAATGTGTGAATTGTGCTTTGAGGGAATTTTCATTGAATTGCAAGAAAACGTTTCATCCAGCAAACTTCTACATTGAGGGTATGCCCAATACAGCCTATGGTGTTGTGCAATGTAGACATACAGCTTTGAGTGACCCTTGTCTGCTGGAAGAAAAGGAGTACTAGTGGCACCTTAGAGACTAACCAATTTATTTGAGCATAAGCTTCCGTGAGCTACAGCTCACTTCATTGGTATGCATCCGATGAAGTGAGCTGTAGCTCACGAAAGCTCATGCTCAAATAAATTGGTTAGTCTCTAAGGTGCCACTAGTACTCCTTTTCTTTTTGCGAATACAGACTAACACGGCTGCTACTCTGAAATCTGTCTGCTGGGTCATGCTCCATCTCAATCTTGGTAGCCAAGCCATGTATCCATTAGAGAAAGGTTGCTACAATCTATGGTATTTTATAGATGTTCTGTACCACGCTTACCCTTCTGCCATTACATAACAAGTAAGAAAACTGTGATTTAAATGAACCCTCTATTTAAATGAACCCTCTGTCAAATCCTGAGGTGGTAATATAAGTTATCAGGCTTGGCAAAGTTTTCAGAGAGCTGCAGCATCATGAACAGGGTTGCTGTGGTTGGAAGGAGGAGGCCTAACTGGGCCTAGTGAGAAGAACCATCCCTACAGGCAAGAGCTCTGGTACCTGCCAAAAGCAACACCATGCGGCTCTGCAGCAACCCTGAGTAGTGACAATCGCGGTTGCTCGCCTTCTCCTGCTCTGACTTCCAAAGCCAAGTGTATGTAGTTTGGTTTAGGCATGTTGATTCCAAGCTACTAAATATCCAAGGTGGGTGATATAATATCTTTTGTGGGCCCAATAAAAGATTTACCTCACCCACCTTGTCTCTCTAAAGAACACATGTATTCATCCTTTAGTTACTACAGCTAGAGCAGAGTATCCAGACTCTAAATGGCTTAGTGCAGGTTCTTGCTGTAGTGTGGTTCACACACATGAGGAATAGGCTTCCTTACCACCTCTCTAGTGGGCACTGACATCTATCAACATTAATGGGCATTTCACAAATGCAGAAAACAAGATGATGAGGTCTTGAAGTCAAGCACCAATAAAGAGCTCCAGGGTATGTGTCACAAATCAGGTCTTTGTGTGAAGTTAGCTGGCACGATGCAGAAATTCTTCCACATGTGAGCAGGACTGAGACTAATTCTGTTCTTAAAGCACAGTTTTTGTTTGGTGTGCTCCTCTATTCCTGCCGCACCCTCGCTTAACTACTCCAAAGTTGAATTGTACAATTAGCATAAATTCTTGCCCTGGCTCATTAGAACAGCTCTACTCACAGGGATTCCTGCTGACAGCTCTGGGTTCCATCTCTGAGGAGCAGAATAATGGAGTGAGGAATGCATTAACAAGACATCGATTTCAGCTGAGCCATTGGGACTGCTGCCTGCATGATCATTTTTAATGACAGACGAGTCTATTTGTAGCAGTCCCACTTATCGTTTTTAAAACAATGCATCATCCTGTGGCAGAGCTGGACTGGAGGTTCCCTCAGAGGCTCTACAAAATGGTCTCAAGTGTAGGGAGTACAACCCATTCCTCATGTGAATCCCCTAGTTCACATGCCGAGCGCAGTGGAGACTGCAAGGTTTTGGCCAAGTCCATTGAAGGAACGCAGGAAGAAAAGGTAAAATGACTGAAGGCTAGATCACTCCTTCTGATTGTGCTTAAATCATTTGGCACAGTTTGTGCTGCTTTACAATAATGTAAATTGCCTCTCTGGTGTTTAGCCTCCTAGGAGATAAAGTGTGAGCATCTCCTTGTAATTGGGGGCGTGTAAAGGCAGAAAAGCATTAACAGCAGTGCAACAAGACTCCGTTATTTGTCTAAGCTGGGTCTCCAGCATGGTGCCAGTGCAGATATTGTTGAACTGGAGTCTGCACTCGCTGCTCTTGACTATTTTCACATAGGCTGTCAGACACTACCAACAGAATCTGACTTCAAACCATTGCCCCGTATGACAATCCACTTAAGCACCTCAGGTTTTTTTAAAATGAGATATTCTGAGTAAGAGAACTGGTTGGGTGGTGTATCTGTAACAACCACCACACCTTGTAAAAGACATTTCCTTAGTAGACATTTAACTTTAGACTGGTTCATTACAATCATCATATAGCACACCAGGCACATGTTAAAAGGCTCTATGTCTCCGGAGCAGCACAGAAGTCATTCCAATTCCTCTCCTAAATCAATGATTTTAGGGGTTGGGGGGGGGGTAAAAAAAGGAGGACTTTTAAAATGTAAAACAGGACCAAAGCCAGGGAATCCAGAGTTAAGGTTTAGACTATGTCCCCAGTTAAAAGAGTCATGCCCTTTTTGATTGATTTTCACTGTACAAGGCCCAACTTTGATCCTTTTAAAGTTAGTGGGACCAGGATTTGGCTTTAAGTTTCTGTCTGCCCTACTTTTAGCTTTGCTATCCTGTATCATAATTATTAAATATATTGATAATAAGGTTTTATTTTCCTGTAGCTGTCCAGAGCAGCCATCTTTTATTGCCTATTCAATAGGATTACTTAACTCTACATCCAGTAGGTAGCAAAGACTCAATAAAATTCACTCCCGTTTCTGCTCTATATTTACCTGCCAAAAAACCCTGGACACAGTATTTCTTGATTCTCTTTGGACCTAGTAATAATGGATAATAGTGAACTGCACAGATGTTGTATAAAAACATTAATCTGGGATCAGTAAATGTGGTTGCTACACAAAACGCCTCTCAAAAACAAATTAAAGTTCATGCAATTGAATATCTCAGGGGTTGTGACCCCCCCACCCCCTCCAACATTACTAAATGTGAGTGGTCCCAGCTTGATGGGAGGGGGCTACCAGCATGAGGCATACCTGATTATAGAACAGCTGCTCTATAAACATGGCATAAGAGAAAGTGGTATCGCTGAGCTTTAAACGAGTACTTTTGTTCACAACAGTATTAATGAATTTTATACACTGTACATTAGATTGTTCACAGTAATGATATTACCATGAAAAATTCTGTTTGGAGTTACATTGTGAGTTCAGTTTGAATCTCATCTGTACAATATCCCATTGGACAGTTATTTGTTACTTGGATTTTGTCGTTGCAACAGAAGGAATGATACAGTTTTGTGCACCATATAGAGGACAACAAAATTTAAAATATACCTTTTTAAAAAGTTATTAAATAAATTTTACAGCTAAATGTCTTGTTTTCTTTATAATGTACATACATATGCTGTAATATATACAGTGGATGCTTACAGACATATGTACACATGCACTAGAAACTGCATCGTATGCTTCCATTTTCTCATCGCCCATAGCCTGTCTTTAATTTTAATCTATTTTATCTTACCTATTTTTTGTATAAGAAGATTGCCAATTCCTCCAGGAAAGTGAATGCCCATTTCTTTATTTAGGAGAAGATTATTTTATAGATGTCACAAACCAGTATCCCTTTAAAAAGATAATGGATTCATGTCAGTGTACTTGTTTATAGCCGCACTAATCATGGATACACAAATCGTTTTATTCTGCTTGATTTTTAAATTTAGTTGAACATGATTGTGATAATCAATTTTGAAACACAAGGGCTTTTTTTTTTTTAAGACAGAAGGAGGCTGTCAATAATGTTTGGCTATATGTTAAAACGAAAAATAGGAATTGCCATGGCAAATCAAAAGAGAGGTCCATCTAGTTGGGTATCCTGCCTGAGCCCATGTCTGCACTGTGAATGCTTTACCAATATAGGAATACTGGTATACTATACTGATAAAGCACTCCTAGCAAGGACAACAGTGCTTTTATTTTTATTCCAACCCCGCCCCCCGCAAAACAAGCTATACCAGTAAAAGCGCTTTTGCCAGCACAGCCATGTCAATCATATATCACACCTCTTCACCCTCAATCCCCAACTGACACAGCTGTGCTGGCAGAAATCTGTAGAGTAGACATTGCCAGGGAGTGGACACAGCAAACTGTTTCAGAGGAAGGTGCAAGAAACCTCATAATGGAGAAGCTTGTCCTCATGGGACATTTCTAAGTAGAGCACAGGATCTGGTCCAAGAGGTGAACATAGCTGGACCACTTGGTAACAGTGACCACAATATAATTAAATTTAACATTCCTGTGGCGGGGAAACAGCAGCCCAACACTGTAGCATTTAATTTCAGAAAGGCGACTACACAAAACTGAGGAAGTTAGTTGAACAGAAATTAAAAGGTACAGTGCCAAAAGTGAAATCTCTGCAAGCTGCATGGAAGCTTTTAAAAGACGCCATAATAGATGCTCAACTTAACTGTAAACCCCAAATTAGAAAACATAGAGAACCAAAAAAAAAAAAAAAAATGCCACTGTGGCAAAACAACAAAGTCAAAGAAGCAGTGAGAGACAAAAAGGCATTCTTTAAAAAGTGGAAGTTAAATCCTATTGAGGAAAATAGAAAGGAGCATAAACTCTGGCAAATGATGTGTAAAAGTATAATTAGGAAGGCCAAAACAGAATTTGAAGAACAGCTAGCCAAAGACTCAATAAGGAATAGCAACATTTTTTTTTAAGTACATCAGAACAGGAAACCTGCTGAACCACTAGTGGGGCCAGTGGACGATGGAGCACTCAAGGACGATATGGCCATTGTGGAGAAACTAAATGAATTATTTGCATCGGTCTTCACGGCTGTGAGGGAGATTCCCAAATCTGAGCCATTCTTTTTAGGTGACGAATCTGAGGAACTGTCCCAGATTGAGGTGTCATTAGGGGAGGTTTTGGAACAAACTGATAAACTAAACAATAAGAAGTCACCAGGACCAGATGGTATTCACCCAAGAGTCCTGAAGGAACTCAAATGTGAAATTTCAGAACTACGAACTGTAGTTTGTAACCTACAATTTAAATCAGCTTCTGTACCAAATGACAGGAGGATAGCTAATGACACGCCAATTTTTAAAAAGGGCACCAGAGGTGATCCCAGCAATTACAGGTCGGTAAGCCTGACTTCAGTACCAGGCAAACTGGTTGAAACTATAGTAAATAACAAAATTGTCAGACACATAGATGAACATAATTTGTTGGGGAAGAGTCAACATGGTTTTTGTAAAGGGAAATCATGCCTCACCAATCTACTAGAATTCTTTGAGAG